GGCCAACTTCTTCGTTTTACAGAGGAGGCATCAAAAAGCCACAATGGTTAAGGGACTTGCTCAAAATCACAGAGGTAGAAGTGGCAGAGTCAGGACTTGAATCCTGGTCCTCTGACTCCAAAGCCTATGTTCTTTCTACTTTATAACCCCACTTCCCGGTTTGGACCTCTTATGAAATTAGCTTAAAAATACAAGTATTGAGCTGTCAGATATGATCAGTTCATCTGATGAACAAAAAGGTGAGGTCTCTTTTTGCAGTCAACAAGTGCTTATTATGTGTGAGTCACTGTGCTAAGCATTCTGGGGACACAAGAAAAGCCAAAAGATGGTCCCTGCCCTCAAGGAGCTCACAATCTAAAGAGAGAAACAACATATAAACAACTATGTGCATACAAGATATATGCGAGGTAAAAGGAAAGTATTCTCAGAGAGAAGGCACTGGCTAAAGGGAGACAAAGGGACTGGGAAAGCATCTGCCAGAAGATAGGAGTTGAATAAAGTCTTGAAGGAACCCAGGGAAGTCAAGAGGCAGAAAAGAGGAGGGAGAGCATTCCAGACCTAGGGACAAGTCATGAAAAGGCATTGAATCAGAAGACTGGAGTGTACTCTATGGCCAGGGTTGTTGAATCATTGAGTATGTGGGAAAAGGGAGGGCGAAAGTGTAAGAAGACTGGAAAAGTAGGAAGAGGACAGGTTGTGAAGGGCTTTAAAGCCCAAACAGGATTTTCCATTTGATCCTGGAGGTGAAAGAATTAAAGCAGAAACAATTAAACTAACACTTCAATACTTTCTTTTTAAATATGCATCATTTATTAAGTGTCTATGGTATATGAGGCACTAGTAGAAATTCAAAATATAAATGAAATAAATTACAATTGTAGTGGATGATCTCATCAAATTTATTTTTATGGACTTGTTTTTTCCAAAGGCTGAAACACACACATACTCAAGATCCTCAAACAGAATACAGACCTTATTCCTTTTTTCTCTTTCCAATTTAAGAACAATATTATATGATTCTATGCCACTTTGTTTCAAGAGATAATGGGGTTTTTTTTTATCAAACTGCTATATTACCTTTTCCCACCTTCATTTGAATGTACTCTTTTGCTGATCCTTCATTAATGAAGAAATTAACTTCTCCTATACTCTATTTAATCACAGAAAAATCATGGGGAAAAAAATGTCTGGAGAGATCTTTTGAAAGGGGATACTGGGAAATCAGTTACTTAGTATTTTATATCTGGCTAAGATTTTATAAAGAAGCTAAAGCCCACTGTAGAAAACATGGATTATAGGACATGTGAAGGAACTGTTGGAGAACAGACACCTTTGGGCATAGGGGTATATTGGCAACACAAGCTCAGACTATGGGCCATGGAGAATTCAAATAGAACAATATGGAAAGAAAAGAAGAGTATTATGGACATTTAAGGTTATTCTCAGGGTGATATAACTAATTATGTGAAGAAGAAAGCTTCACTTTGGCTAGAACATGACACAGACATGACACAAAAATGATAGGGAAAAATGGGCAGCTAGGTGGCAGAGTGGATAGAGTGCCAAGCCTGGAATCAGGAAGACTCATTTTCTGGAGCTGAAATCTGGTCTCAGACACTTACTAGCTGAGTGACCCTGTTTAGTAACTTAACCCCATTTGCTTCAGTTTCCTCATCTGTAAAATGAGCTGGAGAAGGAAATGGCAAATCACAAAGAGTCACAAATGGGGTCACAAAGAGTCAGACACAACTAAAAAACAAAACACTTACAAGAGCCTGAAGGAACTTGTTCTTGATAGCACATGCAAGCTAAATATGAAAGAATACTTCAAAGTCACAATATTCCAATGTTTATGGATGCTGGACAGCCAATTTGGTGGCCTTAAGAATTCTGAGGATACTTATGTGAAGTTACCATCAAATTCCCATTAGGAAAAGAAAAGGCTAAGATTTGAGTGTCGGCTCCAGATATTTGTCATTGGGAGTGTGGGGGCTGTGGGTGACATGAATCCTATCAAGCTGACTCAAGTGATAATAGGGACTGTGTATGATAACATGGTATTAGTGCATCTGTGGCCACTGTGAGTAGTAAGACTGGCCTCCCCTAGCTACTGAGAATGAATCCTGTTGATTTGGGAGATAAAGGGAAAATTTATGGGTGCTGAAAATATGTACGAGGTAAAAAAAAAAGTCCTCCTTACACGAGTTCCTCAGGAGTGGGTCGATGCAGGTGATGTTTCAGTTTAAGAAAATGGCTCTGAATCACCATCACAAAGTCCCAAAGCCCAGATGCCTTACTCACAGTCCCAGTGTAGAAGAATGAGAGGAAGATTAAAATCTACATCTGAAGACTCTCAGACTTGAAGTAATAGCACTAAAGTAGATCAGTGGAACATACAATGAATGCAAGTCCCCTTGACTGTTTTGTAGGCAACCAATGGTTCTAAGTATTAAACTTGTATGAAGGTTATTATTGCCAGATACCCACAGCAGAGGAATATAAGGAAAATATAATATTAAAAATAAAAATATTCAAGGCAGCTAGGTGGTACAGTAGATAAAACACCGGATCCAGAATCAAGAAGACCTGAGTTCTAACCTCAGACACACTATAACTATGTGATTCGAGATACTGTGCCTCAGTTTCTTCATCTATAAAATGGGAATAATAATAGCACCTACCTCAGAGGGTTGTTGAGGAAAAAATGAAATAATATTTGTAAAATGTTTCGTAAACTTTAAGTGACAAATAAAGCTGGCTATTATTACTATTACATAGCTTTTATTGATTTCATGGGATCACAGACATTTGAGTGCAGGTCTCCAGAGGTTTCTGAGGCCATCACTACCTTTCAGAGAAGAAGAAAAAATTCAAATTCAAAGAAAAAGTACTGGTGACATAAACTGCTTGGAAGTGGTGATCTAACAGGACACTCATCAAATCTGGAAAAAATACTAGAAGAGCATGATGAAAGCCACAAGAAAGAAACCTTGGTGATGCCTATGAGAGGGTAAGGGGATGAGAAGGTGGATGAAAGGGATCTGAGATGTGCAGAAAAAGGGTCATTAACACCAAATCACCACTAGACTGGATAGAAGTTACTTGTCTAAAGCAGTCAAATGACAAGTGTCCCCTCTGCAGAGTCCTTGTCAAGGACGTGAGTCACATACCATCTCAGCAGGGAGGGAATGCTTGCCATAAGAAGATAGAATCATTGGTCAGCTAGAGAATTCTCAAACACTCAGAGGTCCCTGGGATCTCATCAATTTGGACATTCCTTCAGGCTACACAGATCACAATCGATACTTGTTTGCCCATCCTGTGCAACTCTTGTCTGTGTCCCCCCATAAGATTACCACAGGGCATACTCAATGGGTTTAAAATCAATCTTAATTGCTCCTGACATTCCAAAGATATCAATGGAGCACTCAGGATTTCCACCAGTCATCCTGGCCACATGACCAGTCCATCTTTTCTTCCTATCATCCTTTCCCCTGATGACATCTTTTACTCCTGTTCTTCAAAGTTCCTTATTGATTATGTTGCCTACTCACATCAACCATGCATCCCTCCATTGCCCTTTGCGTGATATTCATTTTCAATTTGTTGGACACTGTTGTGTTCCATGTCTTGCTGCCATATGGAAACACTGATAAAATACTGGTATTAAAAAGATGGGTCTTGGCTTCCAGGAGAAGCTAGGGGTAATAGGTGCTTAATAAATGCTTCATTGATTGAATAAAGGATATTGGCAATTTTCTGAAGGCAATCTAGCCCTCTAGCTTCCTTCCATTTAATTCTGGGTCCACTTCATTGGCCATCTCTGTCTGTTCCAGGTGTATATACTGACAGACAAGTTCTATTGGTTGTTCATCCAAATGTATGGCCCAATGTGGACAGTGGACATTCTTTACTCATTTCATCTTTCCTCTGTATGTGATCAAGCCAAACTCTCAAACAGTTAGGAATCTCTTTCAGGAGAATGTTCAGTTCTCTACAGATGTGGGGAATCTGTGGCCTCAAGGCCATGTGTGGCCCCTTAATAAAAGAATTTGTTCTGTAAAACTTAGACTCAATCAAAAGGCAGCATCCAAGGACTTAGAAGGTCACATGTGGCCTTGGGGCTGAAGGTTCCCTGCCCCTGTCCTAGAGTATCCCTGAATCCCACAAACAAAAAGATGAGACATCCAGGTCGTACAAAAGCTGACATACTTCCATTATGACTGGAATTTGTGTGGAACATTTGAGGAAAAGCAAACCAAGACACATTCAGGAATATGATTAGGCTGTTGAGACTTTGCCTATGTCTTTCCTATCAGAGTCTTGAGTTTGGGCCAGAACTGAAAGTCCAAACTTCTTTTGGAGGAAGGGATGTGGAAGTGAAGGAAAGAAATGGTTCAGTGGTTGTTATTGCTTTTCTCTTACTTTACTACTCATTTTGGTCCTGATGAAATGCTTTACTGTTTCAGAGCTATTCAACACTTGGGTTTGTTTGCATTATGAAAATGTCTAGACCCGAGTTAATTTCTAAAGTTTCTACTTTTCCACTTGAATGGAGGACAAAGCAAACAGATACTGTTTACCAATAAAAATCCTTAGAATTTGACCCTATGAGGGTTTAGATCATAGATTATACATTCAACTAATTTTCTTTCTAAACTGAGAACGTTAAATAATTTAATCTATGCAGTTAAAAAAAAAACCCAAACCCTTCAATTCCACATTATGGCTTATAAGGTAAAGAAAAAAAAGGAAGGGAAAACAGTCCAGTGAAAGAAAGAGGGCAAAGGGGATAAAAGCAATTTCCCTCTAGCCAGAGGAAAGAAGCCAAAGGCCCTCTTGGCCTATAGCCTTGTAGTTCCATTTTCTTTCTTCTTCCTTTCCCCATCTCTCATATCTTTCATCCAGACAGCCTGTGCCCGGCATACAGCAAGCCAAGCATCTCATTCAACTACATAAACTCCCATCCAATTTCAAGCAGCCTAGGCAGTCAGACTTACCTTATTCCTGAGTCGATCATTCTCATCTCTGCAAATAGAAAACTGCTTTTTCCACTGATCTACACTGGCAGCGGATTCTTGAAGTGCTGCTGTCAATCTTGCATTGCTTTCTCTCAGAGTTTGCAGCTCAATCTCCCATTTCTTCACATTAGAGGCACTGTTGCGATGATAGGAATGAGGGTTAGATTCAATACCATAGAGCTTGGCCTCCCATGAGAAATTCTGGCCCTGTCACATCTGTACTACAATACAGAGTAAAAGTCAACATCTCTGTATTTTAGAATCCACATCTCTCCTCCCTACTTAATTTAAAGCCCATTTTTCTATGGAGACAATCATTATCTCCAATATTGTGTAAGTTCCATTAAAAATAACCAACATTATTCACTGATCTATATCAAATGCCAACCTAATTCTTCCTATACCAAAAATAAGTAATTTTATGATTAATTAAAAATTGTAAACCCTGCTATCATTTGGTTGCTCCCAGCCTTACCCTTTAAAAATTCTTAATTAAGGGACAAAATAATAGTCCAAGACTACACTATATGTTAGAGACTGACAAATAGGTCCTCTAGGGGCAGCTGGGTGGCAGCCCTGGAGTCAGGAGGACCTGAGTTCAAATCCAGCCTCAGACACATAACACTCACTAGCTGTGTGACTCTGGGCAAGTCACTTAACCTTCAGGTCTCAGGAAAATCTTCAGTGAAGTCTTCAAAGCCTTGAAAGGCTTCTATGGTAGTGCTCACACAATAAACCAGTGTCACAAGAAAACAATTTCAAGGAAAAAACAATACCCTGGTTAGAAAACATACCCCTCAGGTGCTAAAGTGAATTGAAGATTTGAGGGCTGAGATGATCCCTTTTAGCTTCCTCTTCCTAGAAATGGCTTTGACATAAATGGAAGAGAAAATTCCTTAGACTAAGAAGACCCAACATGGGTTTTAGCTAGTACATGTTCTATGGCCAAAGTGGAGACCCTCAACTGGTGGAGACCTCAATCATTTGATTTTCCATGAGTTTTTTTTTAATGGAGTCTTTGAGCATTCATTTAAGTAACCAAAAAAAAAAAACCCAAAACCCTCAGTTATGAAAGCCCAAAGCCTTGCCATGGAGATGAAAATATTTTTACTACATCAATGTGTTCACTGGAGTTAAAAGAAAGTGAGTTTCATACTCATAGTCATCATGCCTTTACAACCCTCAGGTTACTCTCTGTATTTCAAACCTTTAAGTCTTCAACACTTAAGGTAATCTCCAATCACAGCTGGAAGGAGTTTCACAGTAAAACTTAATTGTAAGATTTCTGGAAAGTTGGGTCCCCAACCCAACAGCTACTCACTGGTAGCACTAGCTACTGACCTCAATTTGTCTTCTATGTGTCAACATCAATTTACCTAACCATATTCATATAATTTTGTAACCCTTTATCTTGTGATATTTAACAGTCAGCCTCAAGGCTCTATGAACTTGACATAAAGCCATGCACCTTAAACTTCAAAGACCACACATTAAGAATGCTCAAAACTCATTTAAGTTGGTAATTTTAAGGCTGATATCAAAGAAGTCAAGCTGATTTGAAGAAATGGCTTAAAGTTCATTCACATCATTCATTCACTTGCTCATTAATCTAGAGTGTTGGAGCAAGATTAATTTCAGTTGGGAAATCTTTCTATTTCAGCAGTCCAAAATGACCAGAAAAAAAAATCCTGAGAACTTCTTTACGCTTAATAAGGACCGCTGTACAATGCAAATCAAGTCAGTCTAGAATCCAAAATAAGATAGGCCTGTCTGAAAAATTATAAAATCACAAGACAATCCATATTGGGTTAAACTCCTGGAGTTGAGTTAATCTAGTTAAATTACAGGGGCTGGATAGATGCATTTCTTAGCTGCCTCCTTCAATGGAAGAATGCTTATATTCAACTTCCTTTCCTAAAAAGAGAAAGCAAAGTCCTTAACTTCCTCTAAAAGAAAACATGTTAGTGTCAGTTAGAATTCCTCTGATTCCTCTGGCAGAGAGCCAGTGTGGGAGCAAGAAAAATGCCATGGCTTTCTGTGTAGCATCCTCCTCCAGTTCACATAAAAGCTACCTCTAGGTGTCGTATTCAGGTGTCTTTCTTTAATGGTCAACTTAGTGAAACATCTCTTACCTAATGAAAAGAATGGAAATGCCACCAAGCAGAAATTAAACAGCAGGGAGAAATAATTTGGATGTGAAATCCTTATTACCTCTGTGTAAGGGCCAGTTTCAGCTTCTCATTCTCCGATTTTAGATGTGCTTCAGCAGGGCCATGAGATGCCTTTTCATCGTCTGTTCCATTCACACTTGATGCCTGAGTAGAAGATGGGGTTTCACATCCTGATTCCTATAACAGGGGTCATAGAAATCGCCTAAACTAAACTAAATCACTCTTCTTCCCACATGTGGAAATGAGAGGCATGGAAAACAAGACATACACAAGTGCGCACAGGTGCACATGTACACAGACAAAGAAAGAGCAGAACATTTTGCTTCTTGGGAACACAGGGGACGACCACCCCTTCAAGAGTCATAAGAGATGTCAAAGTTTGTGTACTAAAGCACAGGCCTTTAACTCATAGGAGGATCCATCAGTGCTTCAATAACTACCTATTTCCTCCGACTTTATACACCATTCTAACAAGCTTGCTCTAGTTTCCAGACTCCCCTCACCCCCTGAAAAGCAGCAAATTAGAAGCATTGTTATTATAAATGACATGATGTAAATTATATAATGGTTAGAGTAGTAATTATTAATTATTGCTAATAATAATTGATAATGATAAACTAGAAACACAACATAAACCCAAAGATTAGAGAATGGCTAACAAACTATTTGCCACAAGGAATAAAGTACATAGAAGAAATGTAAAGACCCAGAGACAATAAGAAAATTAAATAAATAAAAGATGGGTCAGTGACATAGTAAGAGTCAGGGATAACTAACATAGTTTTGTGTCCACTTATATCCATGCAATATCAAGAGAAAGAGAGGAAAAAATATTAAGTTTTGGCACTATAGATGTCAATTCTCAGCTGCGACTGATTCTCTAAGGATTATAAGAACTCAAGCATCACTGCATATTTGAACTCTGACAAAGAGTAGAGAAAAATAACAAAGACCTTCTGTATGTTGTCTGTGCCATCCCCAGTCAAGGTGGAGAAAAATGAAATGATATCAATAATATTCATATTTTTAGATTTACGCGTGACAATTGAATTTTAACACTTGAAATTTAGACAACATGAAAGTCAAAGATGTTATCACGGAATGGAGACAATAATGCTCAATTATTAGCGATGATCTCTTTAAGCAATATTGGAAAACTTTTATACATAGCTCATAGACATATTCTAGGAGCCCAATTTCATGGGTTTGGAAAACTTAAAGAAAGCTACCTAAATGGAGTGTAGAATTCTACCAAAACACCCTTTGGATAAATGTCATTAATGACCTTTCTTTTCAAATCCAATGGTCTCCCCTTACCCTTGCCTCTCAGTCCTTATTCCTTCTGAACTTTGTATTTATCTTGTATATTCTGATTTATAAATATTTGTATATAAGCTCTTTGAGAGCAAGGACTGGTTTTACTTCTTTGTTATCCGCAGTGCTTAGCACAGAGCCTGGCAAATGGTAAGTGTTTAATAAATTCTTGTTGATTGATTGACCTCTCTGTAGCACATGATACATTTCACCACCCTTCTTTATACTGTCTTCTTGAATTTTATTGTACTGTATTAGATCTTGGGTTTCCTCCTAAGTCTCCAATGCTTTTGATGATTCTTCTTCCTTTCCTCACCCTGTCAGCATATCTTAAAGACTCAAACAACCCCCCTTCTCTACCTACATTCCATCTTTTAGAGGGCCCATTCATTCATCTTAGCCATTTCTTCCACACTTTTGACTCCTAACTATAATTTTGGTAATGATCTCTTATCACATAGCCACCAAGTTCTCTTGATTTTCATGCTACTGGATTCCTTACATTCAAGTCTTCTTCTCTATTCCCAGTGCCACTAATCTAGGCAGGAAGAAGCATGACAAAAACACTAGCTCAGAGAAAAGACCCTCAGTCTGAATTTCAGTCCCATCATTTACTAGATGTGAAGCCATGGAGAAGTCAATTGTATAAGCCTCAGTTTCCTGATCTGCAAAATGGACAGAATAGTATGTCTACCTACCCCACAGGGTTGTTGTGAAAATCAAATGAGATCCAAGAATATCTTGTATAATAACGGCATAATTAAGATTATTTTACAACAAGGTTGTTAATATAACTAAATTCCACTGTAACATTATAACACATATGATATTATACCTATGGAACTGCCCCCTCTAATGTTATTTCGTATAATGTGACCCTTTCAAAGAACCAATTAATGATATTTGGTGGAGTATGCCTGTAATGGATGTGAAGGCGCTTCGTTAATTCTAACATGTTACTTAGATTTAAGACACCAGTAGTAGAAACTTAGGCCTTTATTATCTTGTTGCCTTGACTACTGCAATAACCTAACTGCATTTAGTCAATTTGCTTTAAAAAGGTCATGATTGTAATAATAATGCCATTCTTTGTATGATAAAGCTAGATCTTCTCTGATCAAAAGGAGACTAGGATAGAACTGAAATCCATCTTTCAGCCTGACACTTGCTGTTCGCCTTCAACTATGTGGTCACAGGGAATATTACTGAGTAAAAGGACATTCAAAAGGACATTCTCCTAGTTCAACTGCTCTGAAGTAAAAGGTTTTCTATCAAAACTCTATGTTTTCCTGTGACATTCAGGAGTTCTGTAAAAAGGTTGGTGAACACTGGGAGAATCCTAATGGCCAACAAGTGCAAACAATCTTTCCAAATTCTTCATTGCCAATATTTGTTTTTCTGCCCAAAGCATTCATGAAACCTAATAATTGATAAAATACAGGTTTATTTCATGGATAAATTACTTACTTGAGAATGATTGCTTGAGGTCTCGATTTTCTCTTGAGACTTGTCTCTAGCTAATTTGGCAGCTTCCTTCACTTCTTGGAATTTCTCTGCAAACTGAACATTAATAATGTTTACTGAAGTCATTCCTGGCCCCAAACGTTACTGCTGTTCAGAATCACCATCACCATTATGCATCCTTCTCAAGTCAGCAAATACTGTAAGTGTGCAAAAAAAGAAATCAACAGCAAGCTTTTTAGATAAGTTTTAGAAAGTCAGGAAAATGTTTCTTAAGAGTCAAGCAAATGCTTTTTCTAGCAAATGAATACTAGAAAACACAGTCATGCAAAGCAATGACTTCCTTAACTTGTAGGAGAGGAAAGTTAATAAAGACTCACAGGTTATTACTAAAATGTAATGATTAAAAATGATACTGATTGAGATGAAGGTAAAAATAATTTGCTAATTGCACAAAAAAATTCAATGTGCCCCTGGGAACAAAGAACAAACATACACATAAAGAGGAAGAATACAGGAAAAAAGTCCTTTTAGCAGTTTGCATTATTAAATACTGTGTTTTAGGTGCTAGTTAAATTACATTTGGAAAGCAAGGAAAGTGGAAAACTCACTTTATGTATTGAAAAGATAGACAAAGAAAACACACCAAGAGCCTACGTTACCTGTAAAGTGATTAATAAGGCAGTGGAAGCCAAATTACATTTCAGTATTACCTGTTTTAAGGTTTTTTAGCAAAAGTTACTTCTTGTTTTTAATCACATAACTATAATTCTGCTTTATTACTTTAACTTCAATCATGAAAAGACAATCAGGACTAACAGATGAATCAATATTTACTTTGCATGGAAACCACAGTCTCAACTCTCAGTATTGATGTACAATTTTCCCTCTTCAGAAATGTTTTGCTAAATATTCATAAAGTAGGTAAGACCAAGTCTTCATAGGCATTTTCTCAGTGAAACATTCCCAAATTGCCTTTGGGATAGGAGTGTTCCATATCTACTGGAAAAAGATGGTACTTGACCTAAATGGATTAGAGACTACAAGGAAGGGGAAGCCACTGGAAAATAGAATATGCATCAGTTAGCAAGAGATAAGCCTCTCAACAACCTTAAGTACCCAAAGGAACATAAAACCTACCATTTAAAAAAAAAAAGTGTGCCTGAAAATGAAGCAACAGCTCCAGAGCAAGAGTCCAGAAAAGAGTCAAAGACCTAATTATGATCATTATACTGTGATTGTCTGTTTTCTCATTAAAAGGAAAGGAGTGTTTTTATTGACATGATCTCTACATAAAGCCAGGAAGGGGTACCTAGGTGGCATAGTGGATAGAATCCTGGCCCTGGAGTCAGGAACACTTATTTTCATGAGTTCAATCTGGCCTTAGGTACTTACGAGGTGGTGGTAAAGCATTCTAATATCTTAGCCAAGAAAACCCCAAATGGGGTCATGAAGAGTCAGACACGACTGACAACTGATTCCAAATCCAATATTCTACCACACCAGCAGAATAAAGCTAGGTATATATAAATGACCTTAAGAAACCCAAACTTTTTCTAGCTGAAAGATCAGAGGTTACCTCTCTCTGGTTCAATGCTCGCTGAAAAGACACAAGTTTTTATGAGCAAATACAGTTCACTAAGCTGTGTGTTGTTTGGAGAAAGGTAGCTTTGGTGACTCAAAGTGAGACATGGAATTGGAAGTTGAGATGCTGCTGGTAAAAAGAGGTTAGCAAACCCAAGCTACTGAATAACTGGGGAGTTTTAAAAGATATCTGTAATTGTTGTTGGTGTTGTTGAGTCACTTTTCAGTCATACCCATCTCTTTGTGACCCCATTTGGGGTTTTCTTGGCAAAAATTACTGGAGTGGTTTGCCATTTCATTCTCCAATTCATTTTACAAATAAGGAATCTGAGGCAAATAAGGTTAAGTGACTTGCCTGAGGCCAGATTTAAACTCAGTCCATTTCACCACCCAGTTTTTAAGATAACGTCTCTATTGGAAAAGATAATGAAAGACAACTAGCAAATGGGGACATCAGAGGAGATGGCACTTGAGCTGAGCTGTGGGGGATGCTAGAGGTTACAAGAGACAGAAGTGAGGAGGGAGACAGGCTATGAAAAATAACATGGAGGCAGGAAACACAATGTCCTTACAGAGAGACAACAAGTTGGCCAGTAGTTAAAGAATATGAGTGAGCTACCCTCAAGCTAGTTTGCTGATGGCTCTAGATGCCAAATGAAGGAGTTTGCTGTTGATCACAAAGGCAATGAGGAACTACTGAAACATTTTAAGCAAGGGAAGTATCATGGGCAGACGAGTTGGCAATTTGGCAGCTGGGTAGAATATGAATTAATGCTGACAAACTGGACTCAGGGAGACCAGCTGAGAAGCTACTAGTCCAAGAGAATCAATGGTTGTGGTATGAACAGAAAGAAGAGAACAGATGTGAAAGATGTTGAAAAGGTGGAATTGCCCAGAATTGGCAACTGACTGAATATTGGAGAGTGAGGGACTTAGAATGAAGATCTCCCAGAATGAGACCCTGGGTGACTAGAAAAATGGAGGTATTTTGAACTTGAAAAGTTAGAAGAAGGGGTGGGTTGTGCATGGGGGGGATAAAGTGTTCTGTTTTAGAAATGTTGAATTTGAGATGACTGTGAGGTCATCCAAGTAGAGATGTCAAGGAAATGTTAAGAAGATATTGGAAAAAAACACGGCCTACATGTCCTATCTACACATGTATCATCTTCTAATTTTAGTGTGTATGCAGGATTTAGAGCAAGTAAGCTTCCCCAAAAGACACCAACACAAATATTTGAAATCGTGATCTATGTTCCTTCTTTACACTCCATCAACCAACTTAGTACAAACAATATAGAAGAGTTCAGGTAAATTAACATGAAAATATCTGTGGTCCATTGTGATAGTAACACAGGAATCACAAATACATTCTGTAAGAAGAGGAAGTAAGCTGAAAGAAAGTTTCCTCAGAAATTTACCATCATTGTTTGTCAGGGTTCTTTGACTTAAGTTGGCAGACTATGCCCAAAGTATGCCAAATCTGGATTCTGCTCCAGAAAAATGGAAAAACCTGAGTGGGGGAGTGGTGTGGGGGAAAGCAAAGACAAAAATAAGAGAAGGAACAGTTCATGCGATACTCCACGTAGAAGAGGAACCAAGAACACAGGTTGTGAGGGAAGCCAACGTGTCAACGTATCCTAATACGTAATCATCAGGAAAGATGTTGACATCTTTGTTTCACAAGCATGGCCTCAAAGAAGAGATATGAAAAGACTTCATATAGGCAGAAGTGGGAGCAAGGCAGTCCAAAAGTGTGGAACATTGCACATGGTCATTTTTTTAATGTATTGAGCAGTTTTGCTGATTTTTTTCTCTTTTTTTTTCACTCTTTGTCATATGGGATAGCTCTTTGGGAAGAAAGAGTTGGGGGGGGAGATACAGATGAAAATATAGGTGATATAAAAACAAAATATCCCAATAAAAAAATTTTTGAAGGTAGTATCACAAATCCCAATGCTGCCACTCTTGTGACTTCCACTGAGTTGTTAAGTTGAAAAGAAGGATATCTTTTACTCATTTTCCCTTGACTTAATCTGTTATAGTCTCTGCTCTAGAGATAGAGTACCAGACATACAGACATCCTTTCTTTATTCCCTTTCTTAGTTGGTATTTTTAAGAACATCCTTGTGGGCTTGGATTCTTAAAATCTAGCCACTGCTCAGATTCTTACAATCTAGCCAATAGCTCACTATTTTTCAGACTTCTTAAGAGTCTGTCCAATATGACAGATGTTCTAATAAACCTTGTCTTTGGCTGAAAAAAACAAAAACAAACAAACAAACCAAAAAAACACCACCCTTGTCATTCCAAACATATAGAAAGGCAAATAGGAAGATACCCAGAGGCAGATAGCTCTCTATAGGGTTTTTTGACCATTTTGCATTCACATTCATTACGTTCAATAAACTATGTGATTACAGTTCTTTTTTAAAATGAAACAATACAAAATGCCACCACCTGTGTCCATGCCCTTTCCCAAGCTGACATTCTTGGAAAGCACTCATTTTTGGAGAAAGAAGGAAGATAGATGTTCCCTTCTTTCCCCAAGAATCACTAGTTTCCTTCAAAGCTCAACTTTAATGCTACATTCCATTGAAGGTCTTTCTTAATCCTCCCAGTTTCTACTGCTCCTGAAATTACTTTGTATTTACTTTGCACACAAACACATACACACATTTATTTCCTACAATAGATTAAGGTCCTTGAAGATAGGCACTATTAATTTTTTTTCTATTTCAGTAGTGTCAAGCAAAGTGCCTGGCACAAAGTAGGCATTTAATAAGCTCTTGCTGAATTAATAATTCACTATTCAGTGCTACTTTTGGGAGAGACGCTGAGGTTGGATATACTTATCTGCTAGTCATCTGCATAAAGATGATGACTGAACCCACAGGAATTGATAATGAAGGCACCGTCACTGCAGTAACTACCATAAGTAGTTCTAAGGAAAATTCAGAGATGCACATACATATACATGTACGTGTACACACACACAATTATATCACATATGGACACAACTAGGAATCTAAACAATAACTTTTATCTACTTGCTGCAAGCCAATTTCAGTTTATACCAAGTCATATTTCAACTATACATCTCTGCCCAGAACCTTGGTCATAACAACCTTCAATAAATATTTATTGATTTGATTTGTAACATGCAAGGCTGACAGCAAAGGAACAGAACTTACAGTAAAACCAATCACAATTGTGAATTTCGGTTGCTGTTCTTTTCCTAGAACCAAGTACTATGCATGAATGTTTATGGACCAAGCAAAATTTAAGTTTCAAATCCCTTTGATTTCAATGTTAAAAAAAAATTCCAATGTTTAGCTATCCTTGTTGGGGGGAAAAAATCTCATTGAATCTGACATATCTCTTTAACTACAAACTATTCCTTTTATACCTCCAGTGCCCAGCAGAGAAACATTCATTGGATGTTTACTGATGATCACAATAATCCCTACCAGAGAAGTGAGAGCAGAAGAATGAGAAAACAAGAGGTCACTTCAATC